CACAAAAAAACACACTAAAAGATCAAAAGAAACAACAAACAAACCAAATACGACCACGGAATTTAAAGGCATATATCCTAGTCATAATATAAAATGGAAGTGCACAGTTATCTAGCTAGTTAGTGGCAAACCTGCTCCCGAACGTCATCACTAGCAGAGCTAAGAAGCTGAACGAAGATAGGAACAGCCCCTTGTTCAATCACAACCCGAGTATGATCTGATGTTCCTGATGCAACATTGGTCAAAGCCCATGCAGCCTCAAACTGTAAACAAACTTTACGTTAAGCTACCAAACCATTCTTGAGTCTTTAAGGTGCAATTGATAGACGACAAATCTACAATGTGTGAAGTACAATACATACCTGCAATTGCGGATGGTCTTGCCTTCCAAGAAACTCCACAAATCGTGGGACAACCCCAGCTTTGATCACTTCATCAATAGGAGGACTACGCTCTGGTTATCAAAGCGAGGTACAAGCAACCATCAGATGTCAATAAAACACATATAACCGTAGAACAGAATAATAATTCTGAACAGAACCAATGTATACCTACCTATAGATAACAACTTTCTAAATTGAGTAGTGGCTTCTAGCTGAGCTTGAGGATCTTCAGAATAAACACCTTGTACCATCATCGGGATACCTTCTAGCTGTCAAAAGCACATGAACAGTATCAAACAGCTGTTTCCACGGAAACGAAATCTCACCTTGGCTAGAAATGTAACGCCTCCAATCCATTAACAAGATCATCAGATCAGATACTAGATATCCCGATATCTAACTAAAGGCGATCAGCATACATGATCAGATTTGTGGTCATAAAAGGATCCCAAAAATCCATAAATCTAATTCCCGAAAGCAAAGAAGCCAACTTTGATGGTCAATTATGAGATTGGGAGTTTTCAAGCAGCTGAGATCTAGAATTGAGGTGGGAAACAGAATCAAAGCCTCAGTTTTTTCAACAGTCAAAGAAAGATCTATCACTCACTAATCAAACCGAGAGATCCAAATCACAAAATTGGGCACAAAAGTATCGAAATTCAGAGCAGCCCAACTTACTCGTTTCTCAACAGCGGCAGCATTCTGGGGACCGTCGAGGCCAGCTCCGAGAGGCTGCTGCTGCTGCTGGAGCATCATCCCTTCGCGACGCTTCTTGAGGAGACTGTCCTCACGCTTGTTTTTCCTAATCTCGACGAGATTGTCCTCTCTTCTCCGCCTCGCCTCATCGGCATCGACCCCTGTCTTGTATATCTTCTTCCTCAGCTCCGCGCGTGTGCTCGGCCTCAGCGACATCGTTCGTTACGTCTTTCTCTTTCTCTCTTCCCGGAAACCACTTCGTCTGGATCTTCCTTCTCTCTCGCTATTGTCTCCTCTCTTTTGCGGAAATTGAAATTGGAGAAAACGGGATCGTGGAGGACGAGTCGTCTGGTGCTGCCGGGTCGGATCCGGGTAGGTGTTTGATTGGTTGTTGGAACCACTTGGATCCTTCCTTCTGACATAGAAGTGTTTCTACGCTGTCGCAATACTGTATTTAGTTGTTTAATTAGAGTTAACTGAAGTTTTTATTTTTTAGATAAAAAAGGGTTCAATTTTTTCTTTTGACGAGAGAGTGAAGTTTTATGTATTTTACTGAAGAACTGGTATGTGCAACCTCATTGATTTGGATTTTTGGATTTTTTGGATTTTGTTGAATATTTCTATGCAATCATATGGCAGCAAAGAACATTCTGATCCAGAAATAACCAATATGATAATTTAAGTGTTTGATACTTTGATACCTAACTTGCGATATAATAAGTTAAAAAAGGTTTGTAAAGAAAAATCACAACCCAACTAAAAAAAGAAAGGTATTGAATTACCACAAAATCATAAAAACTGAAGACTTTATTGTTAAGATAATTATAAAATCAGAACTAATTAATGGTCGCTAGTTTTGAGACAATGACTTTTTCCTCTGTCTCATTCTTTGACGTGCATGGTTCATAATCTTCTGGTAACATGAACTTCTCTCAAACCCTTCTCCGATTTTGTATCATATGTAATTATGTATTTGAAAAAACATTTGAAAAAACAATATGTATTTGTCTCGCAGGATTCCACAAGATCTTCAATAGATAACTGATGACTGCGAAAGCTGACTTGACGGCGTCAAAAGAGTTTTTTCTGTCGAGAAGAACTGAACTTAACCATGATGTCTTTGTAATTTCCCTGGATCAACTGGTGGTGATGGCTAAGACTACATAACGGTTTAGATATTCTCAGAATGTGTTGTAGTGTGTGAAACCATCTTGTAAGATAGTCCAGTTTATTTAATTTGTTCTAGTTTCTTCACGTTCCTTCCACAGTTTTGAATCAAAGTAGATATCGAGATTACAAGAAACTCAAAGTAGTTAACTAGTTATATTGCATACAACTTTCGAACTTTAGAAAAGGGTAGATCTCTAAGATTTTCTTAGAAGTTTTGAAATCGATAGGGAAGTGCGTAAGGACAGCTTCTATGAAGGAATATCTCATATGCGATCGAACATGGACTACGAAAATTAGAATCTGTGTCGCTTCTCGCGCGGGTGGATAAACCTCGAACCGTGTAGGATGGGATGATGAGCTTACGTCACCAACACGTCAAGTGGCGGTAAAAAAAACAAAACCAAACTAAGAAAAATAAGTTGACGAAGTCATTAGTTCGAACTTCGAACGTAACCCTTACACGTTTCAAGAAGTGCCTCGATTCAATATTCATATACCGATCTAATTAATTACTTTTCAAATTTTTATTTTTTTTTTGTTAAAAAATTACTTTTCAAATTTGATTGTATGAATATATATTTTTTAAGTATATATGAAATGGAACTGGAAGGTAGTGATGTAGAAACAAAATCGGGCGTAGGGGGGTGAAGTGGATAATGGTTGACTTGAGAGCACGTGCAGAAATGTTAGAAAACACGAGCACAGTTCAAAAGACAACGAAATCTGTCTGACCAAAGACATGTGCGCGAGTGCATGCTGTCTTGCCACGTGTTCCATCTCATTACACCACGCAAAAGTCTTTTTTACGTGTAATTAACAAACAATTACACTGAGCCCCAAAAAAAATAAAAAATATGATGGTTGAGTTTTTTTTTTTTTTTTTTTGTTGAATTACAATCTTTTTGTCAAAAAGGGTTTTTGTTTGCTTCTCGCACCGTCCACTACTAACTCAACAATCCGTGTTCTGGTTGTTCAAGTACCTCTCTGCCTGGCAACCGGATTGCATTTTCCTTCTCTCTTTCGCCGTCTCACACTCTACAAGTCTACATCATAATCCCATAGACGTCTATTGTAACAAAACCTCATTTAATTCAAGAATATGGGGGAGGGACTTAATTATCAAACGATAACTATGAAAGTGTTTTTTTATTTTACGAGCTGGTTGATAACTATGTAGTACACTATATAAGGGTAAAATAATTATGAGTGTTTGTTTTTACTTGTAAACAGCGTTGAGGGTTGTATGATATGAAGATATACAAAAAAAAAAAAAAAAAAAAAGAAATGGCAATCTAAATCTCCTCGGCCACATTCTCTCACACATATGAGGTTCATAATTGGAGTCACATGGTTGCATGTGATCACATTGGGTCTACCTTTTTAGCCACATATGGCCAACTCCACGTTTTTCCCTTCTTCCTTTTTTTTTTGTTTGTTTTGGTATGTATCTATCATTCGATGCATTTATATTATTTTAGTTAAAATAACAAAAGCACTTTTATACATATATAAGTTTCCTCGCATCTAATATTAAATTTCATTACAAAACCATATCATATGACCGAATACATTAATATATATATTTTAAAAAAACAACTGATATCATCCGTGTTAAGAAAAGAACAAAAGATTAATTTGCTTTTTTTTTAAGGAACAAAAGATGATGGATAACATTATTATGGATGAGATGGATATCTTAGTTGACAAAAATACTATATTGAAAATGCAAACATGAGTTCGGAATTATCTAATAGGTTGTAGTTTCCTTGCTCTATGTATTTTACAAATATATTTTACAAAGGTTAACACTATATCATACTCCAAAAGCTCGAATATCCAAATATGGTACTGAGATCTTGTGAAAACTATTTGTGAGAAATTGTTCTTCGTGTAACCAGGAAGACACAAACATGTTCCCCCATTTAATTTTGATATAGAAATAGGGGTGTGTGAATGCTGTATAAAAGACATATCGGGGGCGTAAATAAGTAAGAAAGAGCAGCAAGCACACGTGGGGGGTGGGGGTGGGGAAGTCTTAAAAGAGGGAAGAAAGATGTTCCAAGGAGAGACTCATATTCTCAATCGTTCCGTTCGTATCATATTGTTTCTCCTTATTTTGGTGCCCATTTTTTTCCTTTTCTTGTGGTCCTTTTTTAATTTGCTCTCACTCACTCTCTTCTTTCGATGTCTGTCATTCCTACCTAGTGGATTTTTTCTTTCTGACAACTTACTACTACTAATATAACTTAAACAACAACACCATAATCGAAAAATATTCAATATTGTCAAATTCTCTTGAAGAGTCGTAATGATATCCTTGTTGTGTTGGTTCTAATGTTGACATTCAAGAAGGTCCAAGTTGTTTTTATTAATCATTTAAAAGAGGGTTTAGAGAGTATTCTGATCAGGACAAAAACAAATACTACACACATTGGATGACATGTTTAGAAAAACTTTGAACGTGAAAGGAAAAAAGACTATCAGAAATCACATGGGTATCCCATTGGCCCCAAAATTAAGGTGGGTGTCCTCTACACGTTACGCGCACATGCTCTCTCTTCTCCTTCCTTCTTCTTTTTTTCTTTTTTTGAATTTTTCCAACTTGCAAATTATTTGTTTTTAACTTTTATTCTCTTCTCTACTTTTTTTTTTTTTGTTGCAAAGGTCTAATTTTGAATTAAGGGTTGAACAGTTTTTAGAATCGAGATTAGTTGGCTGTTTTGCTGTTTGTTTTACATAACTTTGATTATCTATGGAATAATAAAGAAGGATCAAAATCGATAACTGATGTATACAAATAAAATACATGAATTTAATAAATTAAAATCGCTTAAGACTCAAACCAAAAAAAAAAAAAAAAGAAGAAGCACTTGATCAAAATAAAAAGGGTAAAAAGGTAAAAATAATAAAGCTAATTAACAACTGACAAACTAACTGCCGCCGTTAAGGTCCGGTCAACGTCGTCCGTGGTGCGGCGGCGGTTAGAAGTTCGGCGAGAGCTTCCATAGCTCGTACCTGCATCTCTAACGCCGCTATGTAATCCGTCGCTTCATCTAAAAGGTTCGGTACGGAGACTTTCCGACAACCGGGAACTAACCGGCCAAGAATCTTGAGTTTTCTATCAACCGCCGGTAACTTAATCCGACTCGCGGCTTTTATCGGTTTACAACCACCGGTTGACTTCTTCGCCTTTCTGTGTTTCTTGAGCTTCGCTCGGACGCGGCTAGCTAAAAGCGCTCTGCTCCACCGAGTCGTACCTCGAGCAGAAGCAGCGAGAACTCGATCGGCCGTATCACGTATCTCCCTTGCCGCACCGGAGACAACTTTATCAGCCTCGTCGGTAGTGGTGGTGGATCTTTGACGAACACGGCGTAAAGCTTCGACGAGCTTGGAAGCGTAGATCTGCTGAACACGATTCGTTTTCCATCTCTTAAAGCAATCTTCGTTGATCCGTCGTGCTTCTAAATCCGCGTCTGTCTCAGATATCCTCGGCTTCTTCCGTTGAGACGATTCACCACCAGTGACCTCGATGTTTGGAAATAGATTCGAATCCACCATCAAACCCGACTACTGAACCAGAGATTAAAAAAGAACCAAATTAAATCTCTCTCTCTCTCTTCTTGGTGTCGTTTCAGAATCAGCCTCGAGATAGATATGTAAATCTAAGAGTCTCTCTTTCTCTTTGAGGTGCGTTTGGAATGTGACTGTTTTGGAAACAAGAGAAGATGAAAGGAGGAGATAGAGAGAGAGCAGTTTATATATCTCTCTAGAGCCGTGAAACAGCGGGGCTACTACTACTACTACTACTACTATACCACAGACTTGTTTCATATACATAGTTTAATACCATTTTTACCCTTTTTCACCGGTATTTGCTTGATAACTCCAAAATCCTGCCTTCAAATTGTCAAATTAATGCTGACCGATGCAAATATATCTATATACTTTCTAATCCGACAAAAAATAATATATATATACTTTCTAAGTTTTTTTTTTTTTTTTTTTTTTTTTGGACCAAATATACTTTCTAAGTTTATAGTACATTTTTCAGACTAGTGATTCCAAAGGTTATAGAAGAAAATATGTAGAGAAAGAAACGATGATGGTGATGAATCTGGATAATATTAACTTGCAATCACAACGAGTATGATGAATCTATGATGATTTGTCATAAGTAATCGTTTTTAGTACTAATCCCAATATTATTGGTATCAAACAACGGTCGTGATACTCACTCAATAGAATAACATAGCAGCACAAACTATTGTTGGATTGGATCAGTATGGGAGGATAATTATGTCGGTTTGTAAACACAATTTTAAAAGGTGAGAAAAGAGAGGGAGATAACAAAATAAAACGCACTCAGAAAGAAAGTGATGAAATAGGCAAACACCGAAAGAAAGTAGTAAAAAAGCATTCCATGTGACCATTCTCTCATGGGGCTGCTGCCATATACGAAAGAAAAAGAAAAGGATCGCTTTTGTTCTTGTTGTAAACCACCTTTACTGTCTCACTTGTTTAAAGTTTGTGGACAAGTTTCGGCCAACAAGCTAAGTTTCCACTATGTGGGATTGTTGTTTCTATGTCTCCAATTGATACCTCAAATCAAATCTATAGAGTAATGAATGGAGTTGCATGTAGTCTAAATAGGAATATCATATACATAAAAGTTTTCAAAGATTTAATGAGTAGAGAAAACCCATTAACTTAATCATTCAATTAGTACATATTTTTGTTTTCATACAATCTTTACAAAAGAAAAAATAAATCAATCCTTTTAGAATGGAAGATATGTCACTGCATGATCTAGGTAGCAACCAATGTAAAACATTTTTGTAATCAATTTTTTTTTTTGCACATTGCTGTGGAATCACGAGGGAAAACCTAACAAAAAAAAATATGATATGCTGAGGAGGAATATGATATTATGTGTGCATTTATTTAATGTAAATAAATTGTAAATGTGTGGGTTAATGCAAAGAAGAAGAAGAAGAAGAAGAAGATCTTGAAGAGAATCTAAAAGGGTCCTTTTTATCTGTGGCTGGCCAGAGAGGCTTGCCCCCTTAATTGAGACACCGTCTCCAGGTACCCCTTTTATTTTTTAACTTCCCTCCAAAGACTTTCTTTTATCTTATTACTTTCTCTCCCAATTAAAAGTTTTAAATTTGGAATTATATAGATATCTAACCCCCAGGGGTAATTAGTTCATTCAAATTCAGGTTAAGTCATGAGAATAGACAGCAATTTTGGTTTTATTCATATTCGAAACCGACTTCTCTGAGTTATCTGCGTACGGAGTCTTAGGGGACTTGAGTAACCCTTATCTGTTTTCTCTATGCTTTAGACCAATTGTGCAAGGGACAAAGACAAATGCTCACTCGTTAACCAAGATGGAGAAGTATTAGACTAAAACCATAATTCCACTAAATGTTACTCAGAAATTCATAAACACAGAGAGGGTCACTGTCCAACAACATCACACTAAGGGAACACCTCTCTTGGATTATATAGCTTGTTTTTGGCTAATGGTTCGTTTTCTTATTTTTCTGAGTTATTACCAGGAGCCTTCTGCACCTACTGTTGGGTTTGTGAACGCCTTGAAATCCCAGAATGTCTTAAGCGAGTATGGCTCAGAGACCGTCACGCCTTCCTCTGTCATCTTTGCTATCTGCAAATTTCCCATATAACCGAGTTTGGTCAATGATCTGATTCCCCAATTAGATTGAGTTGGCATACAGAAATTAAAACAGACCTGAAGCTTATTGATAGCAGATCTGTCACGGTAAAGAAGTACACGCATACATTTCTCTAGTAGTTTGACACCTTCTTCAAAACTCAGGTCCTCACGCCATTCATCACGAAGAATCGGCCTAGCTAGGTGATTCCCAAACCCTGTGGCAACATGGTTGTCCTCAAAACTAACACCAATCATTGAGACCTATAGAACATCATAGCATTCATTTCAAAACCGCTACGCTCATTACCAAGTTCGAATGCGAGAAAAAGGTCTTATAAGGCATTTACCATCCCAAGGTACTTCTCTCCATTTTTTACACCTCCTAGGACAAGAGTGTTCCACAAAGGGTTGAACTTGTTCCGGCGATTATACATAACTCGGGTCAGATAGTTATGAACTTCTTTCGGTCCCAAGGAATTACCATCATCCCACATGTTATCATTCAGCCTGAAGACAAAAAGAGTTTAAATCATGGGCCAAAGTGGTAATGGTTAACAAGGAAATCGACAAAAAAAGAAACATTGTATCAAACATATTCTTACATGAGCTCATCAAGATAACGCAAAATTTCTTGAAAGTCGCTGATTTCCCCACTGGCACCAAGAAGAGAATGCTTACCAATAGCCTTCATCCTCTCAATGTTCTTGTACCTTAAGGTGGATCCGTATGAACCTGCAGATTAACAAAATGTTGAGCTTATTTTAAAATAACAGTCACACCATTCTCTAGAACCGAAAATCCAGGAATTCAGCATTTGAGTTAAGGAAATGCTTAGAACTCTAGAAGAGGACGAGGCATACTTAGATACTGTATATTATCCAAATTGTTGACTCAATCAGTAAATTTTCTGCATACAAAGTCTTAACACTATTTCATATTGGGGGGGTTAAGGTTATAAAAAAATGTAACTATATCAAAGCCTTTTCTTTTGCTAATGATAAAGTAGGTCTTAAGTGATAATCACCATTCATTCCTATTTCCCAATTAGCCATTTCTTCTATCTTATAATAATCACCAAGGTAGTTTAAGAGACAGAGATAGTAGTGTGCTGGACGTGACAATGCCGCCGGTTTCACTACCAAACTTGAGCACTCAATATACCAACCTCTCACCAAAAATATACTATGATGAATATAAATTTCACACATCCTGACTCCGGATTATTTTTCTTATCTAGCCAGCATTAGTAATATTGCAAGCAACTCACATAGAAGCAAAGCTTAAAAGAGTAAATAGCTTGATCGAGCAACCAAGCAACAATACTGAAACTAGGTAGAGAGCATCATATACCTCCCATATCAGACGCCATTAAAATGCCATCTTTGTACTTGATAGCTACCACTGAGGTTCCAGTTACATACGGGTACCTAACAAAATTATATATGAGACAACGAAATCTCAAATTTTTTTGTCTTCCAAGATTCAAAGAATATTTAATGAGAGAGGTTTTACAATGTTCTTTGGGAATCGGCCTCAGCGTTCTTCACTCCATTACCGTTCTCAATCGGAATCGTAAACTGCCCATGGAAAAGAACAAAAGCACGATAAACAAAAATAAAACATGAGGAAGAGAAAGATTGATCCGACTTACGGTCATCTTCTCAGAAACTCCAATGGCTCCTCTCCCTCTCTCACGATCTGATGTTTCTTCTCGCTCTAACCAAAGTGTTTCTTCTTTGCTCAAGACACACAACTTGAAACGGGTCGGGCCTTACAGTTTCACGAACTGTTATGGGCCATTCAGTTCAATTCAGGCCCGTTTATACATTCAGTCTGTTTAATTCTAATTTGCTACGACTCCTTTACAGTTAAACCTACTGGGCCTGCTCGATTGGCCCGATGCTGCGGTTATTTAGTTATGTTAACATGTAAATACACTTTTGCAATTACAAGTGATAGATGTTTTTTTGGCTCAGCTATAAAATCTGTAAAGGTTGAATTTCTTTGGATTTCTTTTTATTCGTTCAACCATACTTTTCGGCACTGCTATCATATGTATATGTTTGTGTTTCAATTCCATTTCTATAAAAATAGAAAGAAAGAAAACACAAAGAACAATTGAGGAAAGATACCAACATACAACACAAAGACCACAAAGCATAAAACTAGAAGCTTTCAAATATAGAAAATTAAGAAACAAGCAACGTCCTTTTAAGACAATTGTTCCTCCCTGGCTCCAAACTCTTCGATCATCATGTTCTTCTTCTTCTTCTTGTTCATTATGGCGTGGATCTTGGAACAATTGCAGGACTTAAGCAAGCATGAGGGTCCACCAACATTCCCAGTGGAGACAACAGGAAGCTTTTTTGAGATTACCACGGAGTTGATAACATCATCTGTCGGGTGATAAATAGACAAAACCTCGAACCCTTGAAGATCACTCGGTTCAACGACCGGATAAAGAAACGCTCTCGGACCGTGTGCACTCCTCAGCATGAGCACAGCACCTGGAGCCATGTGTTTCTGCAGATGCTCGATCACTTTAACTTTCTCCTCCTTGTTCATCCCAACAAGAGCAGCTAGAAACACGACGTCGAAGCTCTTCAAGCTCTCTGTAACGTCCATTATATCAACGGTGTGGAAGAACATGCGTTGAGAGATGTCTGGATCAGAGGAAACCAGAAGAGAAGCGAGTGAATTCGCAGATGGGTCGATGTCAAAGTTGTGAAAGATTGTGTCCTTGAGATGGGATGAAGCAAGAACGATGGAAGTGAGAGGGAGAGGACCAGATCCAACGAAAGCCACGCTCTTTGGGACAGAGCCATTTAGGTTTTGCGTGAGGAGGTCGAATTCGAGCTTTCCGAGTTTTAGATAGTTGTTGTGATAAGGGAAAATGTTTAAATGGTTAAGTGGGTTGTCTTGAAAAGAGGTCAAGATCGAAGAGAAATGATGTTCTAAGTGACCTTCGGCTTCGCCACAGATCTTGATGAGGTTAAGTCGAATCTCTTGGACAGTCTCACACATCTTGGTGACGTCGATGCTAGGGTTAGGCGGGATGCATGTGGAAACGAGCTGCTTGAATAGAACGTTAACATCTTCGGATGGTTTAAGACTCTCGAGCTTTGAGATCTTTTCGTAGAGGTCGCATATTGTTTTCACCAATTGTTCGTCTTCGCAACCCATGTAGACACTGCACGATGAGGTTTTTGGTTTCTTTTGTTTTTTTTTTTAAACTGTTTTGTGTGTGTGTGTGTGTGTGTTTTTCTTTCTCTGGTGTTGAACTGTTTGGAGTTATGGCTATTTATTGGCAGTGAGGTCGGATCCATATCAGCTCAAAAAGAATCTTATTTATTATTTTAACATTTTCATTATTCAATTTCAAATAAAATACTTGCGTCGTTGTTGATTTTTTTCCATTTTGATTAGGATCACTAGAAAAATACTATTATAAATTTACAAAACTAGACTACATGTCTACATCGTTTTAAAATAATGATAATTTCTTTGGGTTATAGGAGATAACAGTTTAAATATAGGGTTTTGGTTTAGTTTTTATAATTAGTCTGTATTTACCCAATTGATCTTTCTTTATAAAAATTAAAAGAGATAAAGTTTGCATGTGGCCAGTCCATGCATCTATCTACTTCTTCCAGTTCCAACTAGCTCGTATATATGAAACAATACAAAATTGATGCCTTATTATTTTATATGTATAGGCTGATCGATAGGCGTATAGCATGCATGTAAACGTACATGCTAAATGATGAAATAATCCGATATTATTATGCGCAGTTCAAGATGTATAACAACCAAGAGATTTTGTGAATTCTCAAAAGTTTTAGACTTTTTAGTTTCTCAAATTTGGACAACAAATTGCAAGAGTACAAACTATTGAACTGAATATGCGAATTTCAGAAGACGATAATATCTTCGTGGCATGTGCCTTCCACAATTTTCTAACGGCTCTCCTTCGTTTTTTCTCAAATTTTCTCAAATTCTTCACGCAAATCATTTTTTGTTCTATCCAAAAAGAATAAATAAAAGCGATCTTAATTTAGCTTTTAGGAATTTTAGGAGAGTAGCATATATGGGATACGTTGACAACTAAAAAAAAACGTAAATGAAATTATAATCAAATAATAAGAGGTACTTATTAGAGACACACGCCAACTTGAAAAGATCGATATTCTCTTATGAAAGTGACGTATATTATCATATTATATTTCTTATGCAAAGAAAAAAATATATATATATATATATTACTACTGCCTCTTGTATTAACTCCACGGCCAACTTGATATGCCTACAAAATCCATGCAAACTCTTTAATTATATATTTTTCTTTCTTTTAAATTCAGTATTAATTTTTACTTACGTATTTTTTGTCAACGAGATTCCATGATTCCTATATTTTCTTTATTTTTTTAATTGTTTTTGTGTATGTTTATAAAGAAAAATGATTGCGTGAAGAATTTGAGATATTGTAAGAGTAAGACAAGAAAACAAGGAGAGCCATAAGAAGTGTGTGGAAGGCACACGCCAAAAGAACATTATCTTCTTCTGGAAATGGACCTATTCTTAACATTTCCCAAAAATTCAAGATTCAGTTTGATAATTGCATGAAAGCTTTTTAAAATTTTGTCAATTTTAATATTTGAAAGCAGATGAAAGGAAGTATATTTGGTCAAGTTACAAGTTATAATCATCTTTCACTTCATTGTCAACTCCATCTCTTCCTCACATTATTTTCCTTCTTATTATTAATTTATGTCCTAAGATCATGTTTTATCAACACATTTGTTTACTGATATTTTATATATGCTACTCCTAAATTTGTCACTCATAACAAATAATAAGCTATCTACTAAACCAATACAAGGAAAAAAAAAAAAAAACTTCTTTAATGGGCCTCACAGGTGGATAAGCCCACAAATTTCAACACTCAAAAGGCCTTGCCGGTTTTGATGTACTTTTCTCTCTTGGTCTGTATGGTTTCGAATTCGAACTTTCGATAACTGACTCCAAAATCTAGTCCGGTTAACTCACAAATCAATTTCATTGAAGAAAAAACTGTCATCGTTCTGAGTTGGGTGGGGTTTCGAGCTCTAATGGCTGAACATGCGACATCGGAAGCAGTCGTGAATGTACCGGCGGCGCAATTTGATTCTCAGGTTTCAGAGCCGTTTGTTGTAACTCTTTTGGTTCGGCATCTTCCTGATGGAATTCCTCATGATATCGTCTCTAGGCTCTTCTCTCAGTACGGAGCTTCTGCTGTTCGTCCTTGCTCCGGTGGAAAGTAATACTTTCAGCTACCTTTATCTTTAGACTCACTTGGAAATTAGTATTAGTTAGAAGGTTTTAGGTATCGTTAGAAGTTATGGGACTGAAAAGTTCTTAGTTGTTTTTTTCCTGTTCATAAGGCTTTTGAAGGAATATATCTTGGAATGTTAGATTATTACATGGTGAAAAGACTGTTTCATTACTCGAGAAGAAGTGATTGAATGTGGATTAGTCTAACTTGACATATTATTATATTTGCTAGCACAGATTGAGAAATGCTGCATTTGTGGATTTCAAGAATGAAGCTTTTGCTTCTCAAGCACATCGTCAATTAAATGGGTAATAGTTTCAGAATTTCTCATCTTCCATTAATATGCTGGAATGAAGTTTCTCAGACTCCTTTTTTTTGTCTTCTGGTTTGATGGTTGTGTAGGCTGAGGTTTCTTGGTAAGGTTCTACAAGTACAGAGAGCTAATAAACCTAATGAGAACAAAAAGTCTCGACAAATAGAAGAATCTATGATCAAGGGAAATGCTTTCTCTACAGTTGTCGCCAACAGTGATTCAAAACCTGAGCAGATGCTTTCTGGCGAACCGATAGCTCCTAAACTCGGCATAAACTATCCATTTCCTCCTCACCTGCAGTAAGTTTTACTGTGACTACTTTTTTTAGATTTGTTTCATCTCCTATCACTTTATTTTTAAAATAGGTATGAGTGTTAGTGTGTGTAAGTCTCCTCATCCTTCTAAACACAATGTGAAAACACAACACTATTCTTTAATCATTTTATCGCTTCAGATGTTTGATCGGTTTCATTTTGCAGATATGCTTACCCACCACCTGATGACAATATATTAGCCAACATTACTAATGCCCTTATCGCTGTGCCACCGTTATACACCCAGGTTAGCTCTAATGTCACTGACTCACTGTATATGACCGGTGACTATAAGTGTTTTTCATTTATAATCTGCAGATATCAACTATCATGGTGTGCAGAAAAAAACTAGAAATGTAATTTTAGACCTTTTGATCATAGGTGCTGCATCTGATGAACAAAATGAATCTCCCCCCTCCTTTTCGCCTTGCCCTGCCCAGACCACCTCTATCTAAAACTGGCCCCCAACCAACTGACTTGGAGAATCAATCTAGTAGCGAGTCAGAGATGGAATCTGATGAGGTATGATGCGTCATGCCATATCTGCATTTTTATGATTTTAAGAACATGGCTTCATGCTAAGCTTGTTATGGGTGCTTAGATTTACATACCACAGTTGTTGCTTTGTTCTCATTTTATTTTCTTTTCGTTAGTAAACTCATGTGATAAATGATAACTGATGCAATATTCATTGATACTGAGTACTTGGGTAAGAATTGTGATGGTATTACGTTTAGGATACAGGTACATCAAAATCAGGAAGGAAGCGTGCTAGACATGAAAATCTTGTTGGTCCTGGTATGGACAAGGATGTGCCGCATGAGACTGTTGGAGTGAAACCTTCTTCTTTGACTCCAAAAGAGATCCCTCGAATTAGAAAGAATAAACATGTTATGCAGGTATCCTATTATCCACAATTACATTTCAATAAAAATATGCTGTGTAGTTATGCTGATATATGTAAGGTCATGCCGTTAGATCAAGATTACCCAAAAAGTTGCTCAAGACGAAGATAAAGAGGATAATGAGAATGAAAATCCTGAAGACGAGCCCAGAGAAGAAGATACAAACTTTAAACCCTTTGTGAGTATAGAAGAGTTGGAGAAAGGAAAATTACCTTCACAAGATATTCTTTCACTGCCTATGTTCAAGGTATGGATACTAAGATCAAGTTATATAATATATTTATATTAAGTAGAACCTTCCTAATGATGTGAGAGCCTGATTATCAGTTCCAGCCTTTTCTTTGGGTATGGGAAATGTATTTTGTCTCATTGTCTAGGCACACTTGTTAGTTGTTACTAAGGATTCTCTATGCATGAAAATATAATTACTGCATAATAATGTTATCTTTTCTATGTTCTTTCATGAATATTTCCCTTCTTTATCTTATAATTCCAAATATAAAGTATCATTTCCGAAGAAATATACTCACTGATGACTGAGAGAAAATGCTTTTTTTTTTTTTTAATTGTGTGCAGAATTACACAGCTGGGAATCCATCGGTTGTGCTGTATATCAAAAACCTTGCCAAAGATGTTGCTATTGATGATTTCTACTACATATTTGGTAAGAAATAGTACTGCTAGTCAAATCAAAATCTTGTAAAATACTACAATCTACGAGTTGTTAATTTACAAGTTGTTGCCTGCTGACTACACCTTGCCTTTCTGGAAGTCTAAATTTTTGCATTCATGTAGGGTCACAATTTGAAAGCATGGAAGCAGCTAAATCCAGTCTTGGTGTGAGGCTGATGCAGGTGATGATGCTTGCGTCCATGGACTTTCTTAACCTTAAACTTGCCTTGGATTATTATCAATCTCCTCTTTTATGACTATGATTGAAAGTGTGAATTAAATAATATTACAGGAAGGAAGGATGAGAGGGCAAGCTTTTTTGACATTTCCATCTGTTGAAGTCGCACATCGTGCTCTGGTTATAATCCTTAACAACACCCTCTGCATAAATGTCTAAATACTATCAAGTATATATCATTAACAAGCATTCATTTTGCGCCTTAAGATAAGACAAAAGCGTGACTGAAGTGTTCTTTGTGACTTTGCAGAATCTTGTAAATGGTTTTGTGTTCAAAGGAAAACCAATGATAATCCAGTTTGGCAGGAATCCTGGAGCAGCCAAGCCAAACGAATGATATATATATATATATATATATATAAGTGTTGTTTTCTTGTTGGTAGAATTTAAGGTTTTTGTGGGTTCATCATGTAACTTTGACTCTCAGATTAAAAAAGTCAATAAAAATATAGCTGCCTAATATTTAATGGTAGAAGCTGAGATTTGCTAAAATGAATCCTTGAAATCATTTCTTGCTAGATTCGTTTGTGTACACAATTATGTTCTTGTTATATTCATGGAGAAGAACCACCGCTCTTCGCTCTTACACTATAATCAAACATTCTTGTTCTTCTTATTCGACTTTGGTATCTGACGGTAACATCATCTCAATCCAACACTTTCATTCTCTTCTGCACAAAAATGAATCAAACCTCAGAATCATCCACCAGCTCCATTCTCACATCACCACTTCTGGGCTTCTTCTCCTTCATCAGAAGCAGAACTCTGGGAAAATTTTTCTATTCAATCCTCTGCTTCGATGCTATTCTCTTGGCGAAACCCCTCTTCGGGCTTACTTCCTCTACGACCAACTCCAGCGGCTCCATTTCTTGTCTGATCACAACAAGAGACTGCCTCCTTTTGATAGCTTCACTTACCTCTTTCTCTTGAAAGCGAGTTCGAATCCGAGATTCCCATCTTCACTACTGGGAATTGGACTCCATGGGCTGACGCTAAAACTGGGTTTTGAATTTCATGTCTACGTGCAGACAGCTTTGGTCGGCATGTACCTCGTTGGTGGAGACATGATTGATGCTTACAGAGTGTTTGACGAAATGCCTGAGAGAAATCCGGTAACTTGGAATGTCATGATCACTGGCCTGACTAATATGGGAGAATTTGGAAAAGCTCTTTTCTTTTTGGAGAAGATGCCGAATCGGACGGTAGTATCGTGGACCACTATCATTGATGGGTATGCACGAGTAAATAAACCCAAAGAAGCTATACTCTTGTTTTCAAGAATGGTTGCTTGCGACGCCATAATGCCAAACGAGGTAACCATTCTAGCCATTCTCCCAGCTGTTTGGAACTTTGGAGATCAAAAGATGTGCGGATCGGTTCATGCTTATGTCAGGAAAAGAGGGTTTGTTCCATGGGACATCCGTGTCACAAACTCACTCATCGACGCTTATGCAAAATCTGGGTGTATTCAAAACGCGTTGAAGTTTTTCATGGAGGTTCCAAACGAAAGAAAGAATCTGGTATCATGGACAACGATGATCTCGGCGTTTGCAATGCACGGAATGGGGAGAGAAGCGGTCAGTATGTTCGAAGACATGGAAAGATTCGGATTGAAACCGAACAGAGTGACCATGGTGAGTGTGTTGAACGCTTGTAGCCATGGAGGTTTAGCAGAAGAAGAATTTCTAGAGTTTTTCAACAAAATGGTAAATAAATACAAGATCATGCCGGATGTAAAACACTATGGATGTCTAGTAGATATGTTGAGAAGGAAAGGAAGATTAGAAGAAGCAGAGAAGATTGCTTTGGAGATCCCAATCGACCAGAAGGCCGTGGTTTGGAGAATGCTTCTTGGAGCTTGTAGCGTTTATGATGATGCAGAAATGGCTGAGAGGATTACTAGGAAGCTAATGGAGTTGGAAGGCAGCCATGGAGGAGACTATGTGCTTATGTCCAACATCTTTTGTGGTACTGGAAGATTTTCAGATGCTCAGAGATTTCGTAAACTGATGGATGTTAGAGGAGTGGTTAAACATGCAGGACATTCACAGTTGACATAGCAGAACACATACTATATAAGACTCCTTGTAATTAGGACTTCAAACTAATCTTCAACTAATAGAAACCTTGAGTTTAAATCTTGATGGTCTGTCTTCCAGCTTCAAATGGTGATCCCCGAAATCCAAGTTCTTTGCAATACATTGATCCATCAGGCAGATCAAACTCATATCAGCAGGTACCACTGTTACACATTCAATCTTTTTGTATGGAATCAGTTTTTTTTTTTTTTTTTTTTCTTTTTTGTGATCTGTATCAAGAAATTTATTGGACTAGAACTGCATGATTAGGTCTCTCGCAAACGGCTAACAAAATAACAGAAATATGGCCATTTAATCTATATATTTATTCTGAGTATAAGAGCATTGTCTCATTGCTGTTTCTTTCAGTGTGAGGGTTCCCTTGATCTATCATCATATGTATTAACATAATTTGTTTTCTATTTATTTCTCAGGCTATTATGGAAGTAGGAGAGGTCATCCAGTTTTATGACTCTGATAAGCGATTTCCTGCCTGGGGTTTTGGAGGAAGAACATCGGATGGCTCTGTGTCCCATGCTTTAAACTTGAATGGAGCATCATATGGCGACGAGGTAACTTACAAGACAGAAAACTGTTTTGCCTTTTTTATTATTGGAACTAGTGTATTGTGCTTATACTGGTGTATATTATTACAAATAAATTATACTGAACTTTTGTCTCTTTTATAGTTTCAGAACCATGAACATTGCATTCTCGAAATTACATGTTAAGTGTCACATAGTTTCATATTCTCTTTTCCTTTTCAGGTTGTTGTAGTTGAAGGAATCATGGCAGCTTATGCGAGTTCTCTTCGCAATGTTGCTCTAGCGGGACCAACTCTATTCAGCCATGTGGTTGACAAGGCTGCTCATACTGCTTCACAGTCACTCTCACAAAACAGTCCAAAGTACTATGTTCTGCTCATCATTACAGTAAGAGACCGAGAACTCAGATGCGTAATAACTCTGGCCAAATTCAGATCGAATGTGCATCCGTTATTAATGAATCTATTAGATTGAATGTCAAAATGTTTGGATGTGTGAACAGGATGGAGTCCTTATAGACATGGCGGGTACAGTAGACGCATTGGTGAGAGCTTCTGATCTCCCGTTGTCAGTTCTTATAGTCGGTGTGGGAAACACAGACTTCAGACAAATGGAGGTAAAAGTTTTGTTTTTGTCTAGTAAATAAGTTTTATATCTCATCTCGCTGTTAGCTCGTATCGTCTCTGTCAAAAGCTTCAAGTTCTTGTCTAGTGTGACTTGACCTTGTAAATATTTCAGATACTTGATGCTGATAATGGTCGCCGGTTAGAGAGTTCTACCGGTAGGATAGCTACACGGGACATCGTTCAATTCGTGCCTATGAAAGACATCCATAGTGAGTTTTAGATATCTTCATTTACAAATATTTCTATACATTTCAAAGGCATTGTTTGTGTTATCTATATATAGATGCGATTTGGATTTGATAGTAAAAAAATTGAAATTTGGTTGGGGTGCAGGTGGACAAGTGTCAGTGGTGCAGGCACTTCTAGAAGAACTTCCCGGTCAATTTCTGAGCTATGTCCGTTCCAGAAATATCAATCCGGTCGGCGCTCCTGCAATTTGAGTTCACCGCATAGTCTATTTTCATTTATTTTGCTAGCATAGTTCAACATGCTCTCAATTTACTTAATTTGGAAAAACAAATGAAGGAAAACATATAAGAAATTGCTAAAGCATGTATATAATTATACATTTATAGCATAAATGCATCACCGTAGCATCATTTTTCTTGTATATATGAATATTATGTAACTTATTGACAAAGAATAAGAAGAATCTGATATAATCACGCATCAAAATGTAAAACTGATTAGATACGATGACAAGAGAAGAAAGACATCTGTCAAAATTAGCCGAAGAATAATACTTCAAAAAGAAAAAAACGTTGGAGATCAGGGGATCGAACCCCGTGCCTCTCGCATGCAAAGCGAGCGCTCTACCATTTGAGCTACATCCCCATATTGTTGTAATCGTAGGCATAATAAACTTTAAATTTCAAGAATTAACAGATAAACTGATAAAGTATGAATGTCCTCCTACATTCAAACATGCTATATATGAACCGAAGGATTGATGAACGGGAAAGCGAAGCCCATTCTAAACCCTATATATTTGGCTTTCAACAAAATGGTAAACAAATACAAGATCATGCCGAATGTAAAACACTATGGATGTCTAGTAGATATTTTGAATAAGGAAAGGAAGATTAGAAGAAGCAGAGAAGATTGCTTTGGAGATCCCAATCGACCAGAAGGCCGTGGTTTGGAGAATGCTTCTTGGAGCTTGTAGCGTTTATGATGATGCAGAAATGGATGAGAGGATTACTAGGAAGCTAATGGAGTTGGAAGGCAGCCATGGAGGAGACTATGTGCTTATGTCCAACATCTTATGTGGTACTGGAAGATTTTTCAGATGCTCAGAGATTTCGTAAACTGATGGATGTTAGAGGAGTGGTTAAACATGCAGGACATTCACAGTTGACATAGCACAGAACACATACTATATAAGACTCCTTGTAATTAGGACTTCAAACTAATCTTCAACTAATGAGTATTTGTGCTCTTTCTTTCTTATCATAAACTTCCAAAGTTTTGGGAGCTGATTTAGAACGTGTTCCCATATCTTTGGTGCTAAATGAAGTCTCAGTTTAGCTGAGATATTACTGTGACAAAGATGTGTATCAATTCTAGAATGGAGTCGTGCAAAGGGATCAAGAACAATAATCTTAAATCATGAGAACTAAACTAACTGGATCAATGAGTAGCAAGAACGTGCAAGATGGCATAAAAGCAGTCCAGTTTTCACATTACAAAAAGTTTGCTTTATGTGGGTTACTTATACATCTCATCATCCATCCAAGTCAGATTTTGAGTAGCTTTTACGCTAATCAATCCTTCACACGAGAAACCCATTAATGCAAAAATACATATATACACCATCAATGTTCCTCGGTCCACGCTTTTGGAATTTTCTAGATTAAAATAAATCAGTTGGAATCCAACGGCTGAGATCTCGTAAAATCCAACAAACCAAGTACCCGAGAGATCTGCTTCTTCTGTTTACTATACTACTCTCCACGAGAAGCACACCACCTACTTCTTTTTTTTGTTACTATCACCGTCACCAACCGCTAAGATCTTTCCACGTGTCAAATTAATTATGCCCCAGCCATCTTTCGCCGTTTCATCCAATATCAAAGCGCCATGTCACACCTAATGACAACTGAATCTGATGTGTCATTTATTGATTGGATAACGTGCCTGCTTACTTACACGACGTAGCAAATAAGGCTAAAATCCATGAGAGCAAGTGAACTAACCAGCTTCCCAGTGGAATATATATACTCCAGGTCTTATACATCATCTTCTGATCGATTCTCGGAGAAGCTCCGATCTGAGTTCTTAGCAATGGCGAAATTAATCCCTAGCCTCGTCTCTCTCATTCTTATTGGTCTCCTCGCGATCGCCTCCGCGACAGTGATCTTCGAAGAGCGCTTTGATGGTATGTGTATGCATCTCTACTCTCTGTACTCTAGTGTCTCTAGGTTCCACTGAATGCGTTCGTTTATTTTCTTGGTTTGAGATATCTTCATCAATTTGAGTTTTGATGTGATCATTTAACGATGTAGAGATAAGAGATCCATTGTCGATCATGCTACGATATCCTCGTTTTTATCGGATAGAAACTTTTTCAAATGTTTGATCTTAGTTATTGTGGATCTATGACTTTATTGATTTTGGTTTGTGATTTCGAATTTCTAATCGGGGATCCAGAAATGGTCGCCAACTTTTGGTATCACGAGAGCAATGCTTTAGCGATGATTTCGAACTCTGGCATGATAGTTTCAATCTAAACCATTGTTAATTTTCTGATTTGAAAAGCTAAAGGATATCTACGCTTACCTAATATCTAGTTGAACAATTCGTGTATCTTGTATTTGGATTCTCTTGTTGTTCTGGAGTTAATATTCTTGTGATTCTTCTTTCTGATCTCTGTCTTGCTATGTTGTCTCCATTTCTATAGATGGATGGGAGAGCAGATGGGTCAAATCTGAGTGGAAGAAGGATGATAACACTGCTGGGGAGTGGAAACACACTGCCGGAAACTGGTCTGGTGACAGTAACGATAAAGGTATGATTCATCCTTCAGAGCTAGTCAGAGACTCATGGAACACTGTTTCCAGACATATTCCCAGTTTTGTTAATGCTTTGTTTGCAATTACCATTGCCATGCAGGTATCCAGACCAGTGAGGACTACAGATTCTACGCCATTTCAGCTGAGTTCCCTGAATTCAGTAACAAGGACAAAACCTTAGTCTTCCAATTCTCAGTCAAGCACGAGCAAAAGCTTGACTGTGGTGGTGGCTACATGAAGCTGCTCAGTGGTGATGTTGACCAGAAGAAATTTGGTGGAGACACCCCATATAGGTACGTATCCTGTCTCTTCTCACTCTAATCACCTCAACCTTTTCTACTGACATCGATATCTCAATATTTAAATCTAACCATTTGGTCTTACTTGCAGTATCATGTTTGGTCCCGATATCTGTGGCTACAGCACAAAGAAAGTTCATGCTATCCTTACCTACAATGAAGCCAACCATCTGATCAAGAAGGATGTTCCATGTGAAACTGACCAGCTCACCCATGTGTACACATTTATCCTCCGTCCAGATGCTACTTACAGCATTCTCATCGACAATGTTGAGAAGCAAACTGGAAGCTTGTACTCTGACTGGGATCTTCTCCCACCCAAGAAAATCAAGGACCCCAGCGCCAAGAAGGTATTATTTACTTATGAACAACCGGACTAAATTGAGAGCCATCTAGTTATACATTAATTATGGAGCAAACTCGAACCAACATCATCAAAGTTCATGCAATCTGAGTCTCTGATCAATTCGGTTGATTATACATACTATCAATCATACCAATTGGTTCTATTTTTTTACAGCCTGAGGACTGGGACGAGCAAGAATATATTCCTGACCCTGAAGACAAGAAACCTGATGGATACGATGATATCCCAAAGGAGATCCCAGACACAGACTCGAAGAAGGTACCTACGTTGACCATAACTGATGAACTGATTCAAAATCAAAAATATCTTGCTGTGTTTACTGTCTTTTCTTTAACTCCTTTCTCCTAGCCTGAGGACTGGGATGATGAAGAAGATGGTGAGTGGACTGCCCCAACCATCCCCAACCCTGAGTACATGGGTGAATGGAAGCCTAAGGTTTGTCAATCTTGCTCTCAGAAAATATCTAAATCCTCGTCAACGTTTTTCTTCATCTCAAGGTTTATCATATATTTCTGTAGCAAATCAAGAACCCCAACTACAAGGGCAAGTGGAAGGCTCCATTGATCGATAACCCTGGTAAATTACTACTCTCCGTGGCCATATTTTTCATGTTGCATATTATACATGTAATTTGTTGTTCTACTTCTGTTAATTGTAGTTTGATGGCCTTTGGTATGCCTAGAAATCTCTTACAATTTAGATTGTTTTTTTTACTAAGTTGATGGCTATCTAAGGGTTCCTATAAACTCAAATGCTGAAGTAATTCCTTACTTCAATATGGTTGAAAGGTGTTTCTGTGTTTGGTTGTCTAACCAATTAAAATAGAAACATGTATGTAACCCATTTTTTTAGTCTTCTCTATTATTAAACCCAGGGTCACACCAATTGGACACATTCAGTAACATGTTTGTATGGATTTGACTGTAGTACTAAACATCTGATTTTGTTTGCTTGCATAAATTTGCATGAAAATCTATCTCTCCGATTCATAATATCCAACAATTACCGTGCCTAATTTAAACTGACTTTTCACACAGACTTCAAGGATGACCCAGAGCTTTATGTCTTCCCCAAGCTGAAGTACGTTGGACTCGAATTGTGGCAGGTAAATAAATCTTGTCACTGTGAATGACCTTTTATCTTCCAAGTTCTGCTCTGGTCCCATGACTTGCATCTAAATATCTATCACTCATTCAGGTGAAATCAGGATCATTGTTCGACAATGTCTTGATCTGCGATGACCCAGACTACGCGAAGAAGTTGGCAGATGAAACCTGGGGAAAGCTCAAGGATGTACGTCTTTAGAATACACATTTCCATCAATACAACTCTTGGATTGTGGTTACTGATCTAAACATCGATCTTATATCACATTGCAGGCGGAGAAAGCAGCTTTCGATGAGGCAGAGAAGAAGAAAGAGGAAGAGGTACCACTTTCTCAACCAAATATCTCTCCTAATTAGTTATCACAATTCATAATATTCTCTAGAACAAAAAGGCCTTGTTGATCTGAGACTCCATAATTTTTTTGGTTTGTTTGTTCTGTGCTGATACAGGAATCCAAGGACGCACCTGCGGAATCTGATGTAAGCACTTGTGATTGATCAAAGATTGATAGTCTTCTCTGCTTCTGTCAAGGTTCTGATACTATATTTGTGATTTATATTCCAGGCTGACGAAGAACCAGAGGATGATGAAGGAGATGATTCCGATTCTGAATCTAAGGCAGAGGAGAGCAAATCAGAAGATAGTGATGAAACAGCTGAGAAAGACGCCGCCGCTCATGTAAGCTTTCCACAATGTCACGCTAAAATTTCCACTCACTCTATAATTATGTTGTTTTAATTGAGTTGGCTACGTTGGATGATTTGGTTTTGCAGGATGAGCTGTAAGCGAAGGATGTTGAAGATCTAAAGACCAAAGTTTTCTAGTC